AGAGGAGAAGGGAGAGGGGCAGAGACGGTGCGAGAGGGCGAGAGAGAAAGAGAGAGAGAGACACCTTGCGAGGGTGTACGCGCGAGCAGGCTGGGCGGACAGCAGCGCAACCAGAGAGCATCCCTCGATATATAATGCGACGTGTAACCTTTTTCCCCTTCGCCTTGGTGGTCGTTCCTTCGGAATAAAGCTGCGCGCTTGCTGCTGGGACGGTTCCTTACCTGCAGGGCTATGACGTAATGGCAAGAGAGGTACGCATATCCTTCCGGCAGCTTCCTTCCTTTCTTTCTCGCGCGCATGCAACATCCATCTCGCAAATTATCCTCGCGGTGGCGGAGATAAAGGGGAAGAGAAATTCTAATATTTCTGCTTGTGCTGAATCGCAAACGAGAGAAATCGTCGCCGTCGTGGGAGTCTTCTCTCCACGGAGAGGACGCCTCTCGGTGACCTATTTTCACGTGACCTCGTGACACCCGACGGTCGGTCCTCGGCTTGTACCCCCCACGAGTGCATCACCCTCTCGGCAAGGCCGAACGACTGAAGGGACGAGCCCTTCGGCCCGCTCCTTCCGTCTCGATAGGTGCGCGGTTCTCCATAAAGAGGTGTTCGCACGAATGCTCCACTTTTTCGCTCGTAGAATCGCTCGGCCTCATTTTGCTCTTTCAGGACATCTCCTCTATGTGCTCATGAGATTGCCCTTTCAGAAACCTCCCAATGTAGAATCCTGTTTGCTCAGAATATTTTTCGGGATTAATCCTTGCTAGAAGAAACCTCAATCGTCTCCCCTTATAAGAATTGATTTCGCATCGGGTTTTTAAATTATTTCGTGTATGTGCTTAAAATTACATCTTCAGAAACTTCATTTCCTTCAATTCTACCAATTGAAGATATCATTGAAGAATTGTGTTTCTCGATAATTTCTGAAATTTCTAATCCTCTCGCACCTAGCACTCACTGTGGTGGACACGCTTTTTCTTCATTTGTAATATGGAAGCACATAGTTGTAGAGATACTCGCTGCTGTTGTCCTAGTTTGTGAACATGTTCTGAATTATGATTCGAGTCGTTTATCACCATCCGCGATTTCTAAGGGGAATAATAAATAGGGAGGAAATATATTCAAACGTATCTCTTGATAAATCGAGAATCGGGTTTAGAATATTTAAGATCCTTTTCATTTACTTCTTTTTTCTCTTTAGAATAGTATTTTATCAGAAAATTTTCTTTGCTAATTATTAACAATTCTATCTATTAACTTTTTATGTTATTATCTCTTTCACATATATGTGTTTTTTTAAAACAATAATTATTTTTTAATAATTCTTTTATTAGTATTTGTGAATAATTATCTTTCTGTGTTTTTCGAAACTTTATAATCTATCGCTTCTTTTAGAACTCATAAATTTCATTTTGTTTTATGTGAGTGATTAGATCTTTCCCTTATCACTTTGCATAATTATCGATATTTTTTTATCAATAAAACTTTCTTTGATAATGCCGCTAACATTAGTAAGATCTTCCTTGTTATTTTATTTGCACGTAGATTCTTTCTCAATACTTTTTTTCATTTGCAAAGTCCACTTTATTCCTCGATAGAAGCTCCTTCGTCGTTTTTACGTGTTCACAGAGGCTTTGCATCCGTTTTGTTTACTGCTAGAATCTTTCTTCACGCTTTTCCCGCTCATGTAGACTCGTCCTCATTGCCTTCTTACAATACTTTACCCCACTACTCGCTCGTAGATTCTGCTTCACTGATTTGCAGGATCCTAGAATTCTCGTATCACCATCATTAGTTGTTGGAATCTTCTTAAAAAGGTCCACAAGATACAGATTTTAAATTCAATGCGCTTTTTACAAATATTCTCTCTCGACCTGTTTATATTGAAAATTATACGCGGACCAGAGTCGCGAGAATGTTACTCTTTCGTTGCTGGAATGCTTTTCTCGCTTGTAGAACGCTCTGTATCTCATTGTATGTTCGCTCGTCGCTACTTTGCATGCTCGCAAAATTCTTCTCGTCGTTCTGCACGTTCGCGGACTCTTCTATGCAAAATCCTTATCATCGTTTGTCACGTTTCACAAAATTCCTGTATACCTTTTGTTTCAGAAGCCTTTTCGCACATTTGCAGTTTTGTATCTGACTCTCGAGAATATTTCAAAAAAGATTCTTTCGGATTTGCTATTTGGCTCTACTTTCAATTTATGAGCTAAACAAATCCGAATAGAATAAACAAATAATTTATAATGCATGTATTAAACTTTTTATTAAATGAAGTGAATTAAGTAAGGATTTGAGAGAGTAGATTCCAGATTTCTTATTAAAGAATGCACCTGAGTTCGTGATTCCAACGAAGAAATTCATACTTTTGTGGAGTCTATGTTTTTTTTACACTTTGCAGTCTTGCGTATAAATAAACTAAAGAAAAAATCTATAAATACATGGAGAATCGAATTACTAAGTTTCTTAAGGAAAACATATTTAAAACATATAAATATCCAAGGACATTTCAGTGCAGACACATTGAAAAAACGTCGTCACAAAAGATTCCGTTAAATATTTGTTTAACGCTATTCTTGGCTCATTGGTTATTCCAAATTCCACGACTTTAAAATCTTTTGAGTGTGACGGGTTTAAGTAAATCAAAAATTCGTGAAGTAGTCGACGGCGGCGGTTCTCGACGATACTTCGTTAAGGGATGCACCTGGGTACATTCACGTTGCACAGACCGCTGCAGCTGCAGGCGGTTCCCTATTTGCTCGTTAGCACGTTGCGATGTTGTTTACTAAGTTCCATCTACGACGAGTTCGCGAATGCGAGAGGTTATTGCATAGAAAGGATTGATACTTGTATTACCTCAATAAACATTCAATTTTAAGTTTTTAGACTCTTAAAACTCTGAATTTTTGAATTTTTATAAATATTCGGTATTTTGATCCTTAAATTCTAAATTCTTGCTCGTTTGTTAAATTTTTCTACTTTTTTTTATATATAACATTATGATTTAAATGATTATTTATCTTAATTTTAGTTTTGTATACAAATTTATATGTCATTTATTTCTCTTTAAATTTTTGTTTCCACTCTCCTTTCTCCGTAAGTTCCCTTTGATTCTATTTAAATCTTTCAATTCTTGAAGTTAATTATATTAATTATATTTGTAGAACTTTAAGCGTTTTACTAGATTGTTAGATAAAGAAAGCATAAGCTCAATATAGTATTTTAAAATCTTTTTCGATTTTAAAATATTTACTCTTTGAAAATATTTAATCTTTGAAAACAATAGAATTTGAAAAATAATAAAGAATAAATGAAATAATTTATTCACGCAATAAAAATGAGAGGAATTTTTCGTTACATTCTTACAAATTGACCGCATCTTTCTGTAATATATTTAATAATTATAAATGTTTAACAAACATAATAATGATATATTAGTATGGACGAATGACCGGCAAATCCAACTATGCACTGCATAAAATAAATAAGCGATATATTCTATTATTAGATGTACAAAAAAGTTCTGAGTTTTTTTTGTAAAATTCAATCTTTATTCAAAAACAAACAAAAAAATATTAATCAGCGAAATATTTCCCGTTTGCATCAACGACCTTTTGCCATCTTTCGAGTAGCTTGCGAATTCCTTGACGATAAAAGCTCACCGGCTTCGAAGCGATAAAGTCATCAATGCATTTTCGTATCTCTTCAAATCTCACGAAATGTTTATCAGCCAAATGATGCTGCAGCCACCGGAATAGGTAGTAATCGGAAGGCGCCATGTTTGGGCTATACGCCGCGTGCGGGAGAAGTTCCCAGCCTAACGCAAAGATATGATCCTGAGTCGCTTTCGCAACATGTGGTCGAGCATTGTCATGAAGTAAGATTACTTTACGACGTCCTTGGCCTCTTTTCTTCTAATGCATCGCTCAAATTGGTCGCTCAATTGTTGTTGGTAGCGGTCTGCCGTGATTGTTTCACCCGGTTGTAACAACTCGTAATACAACACACCTTTCCAATCCCACCAGATACAGAGCAAAACCTTCTTGGCGTGGATATTAGGCTTTGGCGTCAATGTCGAAGGTTGATCAGGGTCAACCCATGATTTTCTACGTTTAGGATTATCATAAAGAATCCATTTTTCATCGCTTGTAATGATTTTGTGTAGAAAATCTTTTTTCCGGAACTTTGAAAGCAAAGTGAGTGCAGTGTCACGCCGTGATTTTTGTTGTCTTCGGACAATTCATGCGGAACCCATCTGCCTTTCTTCTGAACCTTTCCCATCGTATGTAAACGTACGGAAATGGTTTGCTGCGTAACGCCAAGCTGTTCTGCAAGCTCTTTTCCAGTTTGCGCAGAGTTTATATCCAGCAATGCTTGTAATTCGTCCGTTTCAATCTTTTGAGGGCGTCCAGCACGCGGTTCATCTTCAAGACTGAAATCTCTTTGGCGAAATTTTTGATACCATCTTTTACATGTAGTATGACTTACAGCTTTCTATGACTTTCTCTCCATATGCAGCACAAATCATTCAGCAGCATTTTTCTTCAGATGAACGCGAAGTGGGTGGAAAATCGAATATGCTCTTTTGTTATTGCCATCGTGAACACTACTGATTTTTGAGGTTATATGCATCAAACGCCAAACCGTATGGCATTTTAGAAGGCCAAATGTCAACGCTTTAAAACCGCAAAAGGGCGGGAAGATATATAAAATTTAAATTGTTATTTCGGTTGTATGAAATCTAAAGCTCAGAACTTTTTTGTACACCTAATACAAGTTAAGACCGGTTAAACCAGGTCAGTGCTTTCGAGCATAAACTGCGCACGCGTCCTCTTAGCGCCACCCCGTTGAGGACTAGAAACAACCCCAAACATAATGCACCCCTTCGATTCGCATTATTCCGAGATCGCTAGCGACGTCGTCGGGATGTAATCTTGCCGATCGAAGAGTGCGAAGTACGATAGAGTGCACGAAACGAGGCAGAGACGAATACTCGCGGATAAATTGTGTAGAGTAAATGCATCTCTAAAGTAAATCGAGTAAATTAAAGTAAATTAACGAAATCATTCACTTTCGATAAACGCCGCAAAATCTTCGAGTGGGAAATTCGTGGAAAAACGCGATAAATCCGTTGCCGTAAGTGTCCTCCCTTCTATATTCTTGTATTTGCTTGTTTTTAATATGGATATTATTAGATATGATCACGCGTTTATAATTCAATATAATTCAATATAAATTATATGCTAAATCAGTTATATTTGATTGTATATATTAGTACTAGTACAAGTATGAGTGTTATGAATGTTTTGAATGTTCTCGCAGGACATTATGGATATTTGAATATTTAAAATTTTTTGAATATTTCTAAATTTTAAGATTCTTGAAGGAAGAAATATTTTTAAATTTTTAGATACGTTTCGGAGGAATTTTTAAATCCTAGATTTATATTTAAGATTTTTAAATCTTCGAAATGCAATAATTGCAATAGTTCAGGAATATTTTGCACGCAGCTGAGAACATTGGTTCGTATTTTTTAATAATTATTATATTATTTTGTTATATTCCGATTGTTAATATGTCAGTTGTATATTAATGGATTTAGGACAACAGTTATCATCTTATATGTTTTGCATATTATATCATACATTTTTTAAATTAAATTTCTATTTAAATCTATATCAGACTATATAAATAAATAAATAAATAAATTATATATAAATTATATATATAATTATATATAAATAATTATATATAAATTATATATAAATAAATAAATTATAAATATATGCAATTCTATTGCAATTATGTTAAAAGTTTAAAAATTAGTGAAATATTTGATAGTTTCGTGTATCAGTTTTTATTTATCAGCCATTCTATATGACCTCTATGTGTGCAAAGCATGCTGGAAAATTATTTACTCCATTTAACATCTGGGCGACAGCGTTTCCCGGGGTCAGCTCTTCACGCTCTTCACACGTTTTTCTTGTCACGAATTATTTTTAATTTGTGTATGAGTCATCTCATATTCAAGATCTCTTTATTTTTTCTTACATTCTTTAAAGCGTAAAAAAAGTTAATTTATTGTTTATATCTTTATATACAAATTTTACATTATATATACAAACTTTAAATGTATACAAAATTGCATAAAATTATATTTTCTAAAACTGTATGAAAAAAATAACAAGACAGTAAATCGCATATTTCAACTACTGCCAACATAAGAGTTTGCCGTTTTACCCTTTTTCTAATGTTCAATATCTTTATTTTTACAAAGTGCTTTACATGCCTGCAAGCTTGCACGAGCTTCCGGAGAACATTTAAGGTCAATAATAATCGCAAATGTCAACCATTTTTAACTTTATACCGTGTATTAAAGTGCAGTACACACCTGCGTTTTTTCACTGCACTAAAATTAATCGATGCCAGATGTCATGCCCTTTTGATCGCGTCAAAATTTCTATTTTCTCCATCAATCTATGATTTTCATCCTACACTATTTATTATTTTTTAAATTCTTATTCTTGGGTTAAAAATAATAATTCATATCTTATGTTTTAGTGATGTATTTTAATCGTTAAATGATGATATTAATGTTAATTATTAATGTTAATTTAATTTTTATGCAGGAGTTACGGGCCAAGAGACCTTTTAAGATATGGGACAGCTGGCGTAACGTAAGAAAAGGATTGGTTGTTAGCAATTTTGAAGAGTTGATTGTCCGAGGTAAAGAATATCTAAATCTAAATTTATAAAGTTAAGTTATTAAAACTCGATAAATTAAAAGCAGAGCAATTAAAAATTAAATTGTATTTATCACGCATCTTAGATATTCAAGATATTACATTTATCACTGTTAAAATAATCTGTATTTTGTTGAAAATTACATTATAAATTTCCCAAAATATCAGATTTATTAGAATGATTATTCTCTGATAAAATAACTTATTATTCATCTATTTTTTTATTATAAATTAGCAGTAGCATACTGTTGTATATAACATTGTTTTCACGATACTCAAGAGATTGATTTACTGGTCACAAAGTATCGTTCATTTTTACAAAACATATTTTTGAAGGAAAAAATCTTTTTTTTTTAAATAAAAGATTATAAAATGTCTTAGAAAGACTTAGAAAAAATTGAGAAAGACTCTGTCGTCAGAGTCTTTGCAAAAGACCGACGCACTTGGGCTAATTCTTACGAGCGTCGCGTCGTCCTTCCGGAGCAGTCTCTTTCCATCTGTCCGGCCGACTGGCGAAGAAATATTTCCGGTCGGAAATATTTCCGCTCGGCGTATCGCAGCGCGGAATTGCATTATCTGTAAAGTTCCTTTGAAAGTGTCGCTCTCGCAACACACATTTCTCGCAACATTTCTCAGAAACAAAGCGCCGTTCGTTCGTTCGTTCGTTCGAGGACGCACCACTATTATTCGCAACTACGCCATTCACATGATTACACAGTACATGCGACACGTGGCACACGCACATGCACGCTCACGTACACGTAAAACGGAATATATATCACACGTGCACACACGCACACGCCCACACACTGACATTAAAGCGTTATCACAAACGCTGAACGTCATCTGACACCCCAACCCTCGACCAACCTTGCTTTCAGGTAAGGAAAAGCTGGGCGTGCCACAAAACGAGAATGTCTCGCTAGTTTTGGAATCGGACGGCACGCAAGTCGAGGACGGCGAGTACTTCAAGACACTAGGAAACAACACGATCCTGCTCCTGTTGCGGCATGGTGAACGCTGGTGTCCCACTGGCGTCGACATCATACGTGCTGGTAGGTTAAAGGGACATTACGCAGAACGATTTTAGGAGAAATCGGCAACTTGGTTGAGGAAGCTAAGGTTGAACAACACGGATGACGGAAAATTTGAAAAGACATTTAAAACAAACAAGAATATCCGAAGAATGTAAAAGAGGGATATCAGAGGGTCAAAGCGTCTTTTAGGCATTCATTATACAATAACAAATCATTTTACAAATAAAACTGAGATTTTATATAGACCTTTGAACGATCAACCAAGTAGCTTTTCTTCTGTGTGCTTTCAAATGTCTCGATTTTCTGGATTTTTGAACCCTCGAATATATAGCTTCTTTAGAGTCATACGCGCTGCTATGTAAAGGGGATATTACAACGATCAACTTTGGTTGATGGAAATCGACAACTTGGTTAAGGAAACTAATCTCGAGGCAACTGATAAAATTGAAACTGATCAAACTGAATTACATGTGGATCAAACTGAATCCTTACACACACACAAGCCTTTAAACGATCAACCAAGTAGGTTTTCTTCTATTCTTAAGCTCTCTTTAGATGTTTGGATCTTTTACAACAATCTTCATTATCACCCGAACCCTCTTTAGACTTTTGAATTCGTAAGTTCTTTGCCTCCTTTGGCTCCCTTAAGATCTGTGGATCTCACACTTTTGCGATGGATCACCGGCACTGATTGTTACTCCTTGCAGCACCAAACACTACCCGTATCCTTCGCAGCGTCCCTCCCACGTCCACCGACAATTGATAACCCGTTCTCTCTTTCTCTTTCCCAGCAATTTCGGCGATCCCGAAAATAGTCTGCGAGACAATCCACGCGCTGGAGTTGCACGATGAGACGCCATCGTGGAAAATCATGGACAATAAAGGCCGAGTCACAGTGGTGCTGCACTGGGACCAGCGCTCGTCGTCGTCGTCGCAGATGCAGCAGCAGCAATCGAAGGCAGGTCAGGACGCCCAGACCTCCAAGTACTCGCCGACTAAGAAAGCCGACTTGAGTGGCGCCCAGCGGCCGTCCCTGGTGATCCAGACCAGCCTGGACAAGCTCAGCTATGACGGCAAGGCGGGGCACTTGCCCGGCGAGATCGCCCCATCGCGGTACACCAGCCCGCGAATCACTGTGATAAATCATGACGATATGGTATATTCAATTTGCAGTCTTGTCACTTTAATCGTCTCATTTTGGAATTTTATTTCCATCGCAAATTTTTAAAGCTATCGTAGAGTTTTTAGCGAAATGGATGTCGCACTGATCTCCACGATTGAGGAGATCAGTGCGACATCCATTTCGCTAAAATCTTGAGAAAATTAATCTGTTTTTGCTTTTAAGAAAATATTATTAGCCTAACGTCGCACTAAACTTTGCAGTCTCAACTATGGCCATAATCAATCTAAGTGCTTTATCTATAGATTGCAATTTCTTATCTTTTCCTATTTTAAGTTGTATCAATCAATTAACAATATCATGTTACCTATAAAAAAAATTAAAGTTAAACAATATTAAGCACTTTCTATTATGCTGTAAGCTTATTCTATTCTAATAGCAGCAGCCGGTGCAATCGCACATACCGGGCCGTTTGGTGAAGCAGGGTACGAATTCGTTCGACAGTACGACCATCCACATCCATACACCCGAGTGCTCCAACCATATTCACCAGCCGGTCGCACGAAACGGTAGTCCGGTGAACGGCGCCGATGGCGGTGCCATCGGCGAATGTGACTTCCACTGCTGTGCTTTGCACGAGGAGGGCCGTAGGATCGCCGTGCACAAATCGGTGGCGACATCGCCGATTCAGGATGCGCAGCACGCGCAGTATCAACATCCGCATCATCCACATCAACAGCAACAACAGCAGACGCAAACGCAAACTCCGTCGCCGCAACCACCATCCTCCCTCTCGGACGGCACCAAGCGACCTGGTCTCAGCAAAGGTCACGTTCGTTTTCGCGATACCGCCGACGAGGAGTCCAGCTCGCGCCTAGTTGGTGCCACTAGCTTCCACTTGCATCACAATCATCATCATCATCAAGAGCACGACAGCTCCGAGTCCGAGACGGAGAATACAATAATGGAAGACGAGATTGTGACTTCGGAGAAATTTCTGTTACTGATCGATCAGCTGACAGTCGACCAGAAGCATCATCTTAGCATCAAGGATATCGGCATCATATTGGAGCGACTCAGCTCCAAAATCCTCGACGTCGAGCGGCTGGATCGCGAGAGCGAGAGCGAGGAGTGCTACAATTGGACGATCAAGGCGATCATACGGGGCGATGTACTGCGGGAGCTCGGGGTGATTTACAATGGAAATTATTACGCAATCTCAGAGCATCCCGGCTACAAAGAGGAGTCCGAAGAGAATAATGAGGATAATGAGGAAGAAGAGGAGGATAGACTTTAATATGATGCTGTTTTAGATAGATAGATAGATTATACATCTATTCCTGGTTATTATTAACTTAGGATATGTTGTAAACGGAAATAAGGACGCGAAATATCACGTGGTATCTTCATTGAATCCGAGGATTTTTTTGAAAACTTTTTGTGATTTTTCCTAAAAGTCTGTAGCATTTCCTAGAATATTCCTAGAATCCATGATCCTACAAGGATTCCCCGTGAGCTTGAATTTTTTTAGCATTTTCTAGAAATTTTTTAAGATTAAGAGATGCAACAGCGTCATCTCGTGCCAAGTATATCCATGAAAATTCAGACTTTACCGCCTAAAATTTGGCGAACTTACAATTTTTTAGATCAAGTTTTCTAGGATTTCTCAGGACACTTCCAAAATTTTTTTAAGATCTCGAGTCCCTCATTAAAATTCTAGATCTTTTTAGAAAATTTCCAATATTATAGTCCTACAAAATTTTAGAATTCTTTGTAATAATCCTGTGTGTGTATTTAGAATTTATAATATTAATCTTATAAGTTTTTAAGAGTTCTTAAAAATTTTTCAATTTTAAAAATATCCAAAAAACTTTATTTTTGAATTGTAATATCTCAATTTTCTTTAAAAAATGTTTCTCGTAAGAGATTTCCAAACTTTACTGTTTCAAGTCCAAATATTCTTTCAATCATGAGAATTCTAATTTTTTGAATTGTTTTCGGAGTTTATTCGAAACTTTAGATTTTGAAATTTCTTAAATTATATGGCACCTTCTTAGATATTAAATTTCGTAAATTATTTTAATCTATAAATATTATGACTCTAGGTGCCTTAGATTCCAAGTATTTTAAATCGCACAGAATTTATATTTAAATATTTTATATCCCAGATGTTTTAATATGTTATAAATCTTTAACATGTTATAAATCTGTGCATATTTAAAATTTTTTAGATCCTGAGATCTCACGATACGAATTCTATCTTTTTTCTTCAATCCTTCACGTCCTTAACTTTTTAGAATCGATATTAAATTATTTCTAGAATTACCATGCAATCATAGAGGAATATAACAGAAAGTTTTTTTGAAGATTATAGAGGATGACAAAGAGAAAGAAATTTTAATTTAATATTATTTTATTAAATATGTAAGTAGATTTTTTTAAATAGATTATAATTTAATTAAGATATTCAATGCAACTCTTGTTTAATTAGAATAGAGAAAATTTAGAAAAATATCTTCCAATTTTCAGGGAAATGAGCAACATTGTGCCAAATCTTTTTATTTGTCATCGTTCGAATAACTTTGCATATCGGTTTTATAAGGAATCGAAAGATCGACAGCTTTTCCTAAATTCACGAAATCCTCGGATCAAGAATGAGATTCACGGAAAAATAAAAAACGAGCGATGCGTGCGAATTACATCCGCGTCGCGGGAAGGAACCTAATTCGTAAGATCGAAAGACGATAGAGGGTAGATCGACGAGAAGCACCATTTTTTTCGAATGTGTTTCTTAATAAGGAGAGAAGAAAAAGCGAAGCTAGAAGAAAATCGTAACGTAATGAAATAATGTGTAATATGATATAATATATACAACTTTATTAAAAACCTAGTTCTATAAAGACGGTTGTTGAAATATGTACTTATTAAAATTAGCATGTATACTTGTAGGAAACATTTTTGGGATTACGGACGCTGATTCCGTAACCGTCCACAACACTGCCCTAAAGAGAAGAAACAAAGTATGGGAGAGAGAATGAGAGCTAGGTAGGCTAAAGGGATAAAGAGAGAGGGAGAGGAAAGAGAATGAAATAAAAGAAGTTTGAATATATTTAATGCGTAACGATTCGACTCGACAAGACTTGGCTATACTTGATGACGTAATTATTTTTTTTGTTCGCGCCAATGATTATCCTTTATTGCAGAATTTAAATGTAGTTTTTGTAAACTTTGCCACTATTAATTAAAAATAAATTTAAATTTAGTATTAATTTAATATTCTTGGATAAATTACATTTATAAATGAAATATTAAGATAAATATTTTTTTTTAACTTTGATTATTAGGTATTCTAGTGTTTTAATATAGATTCTCTTTCTTAATGTAGATTAAGATTTTCAGATCAATAAATTTTCTCAATTTCAATTTCCTTAGAAATATATTTTGAAATTTATTATAAGACGTTGAATATTAGAATAATATTATTCAGAGATAAATTTATGATAATTAGTAGCGCAACAAACATATTTGTTATAGCATTCTTATAAAAGATATGCAATAATTTTGCAATAAAGGATTAATTTATACTTTTAATTAGGCGCAACAGAGAATGAAACTCCCGCGAAGAGGCAAGATTGATCGTCGACGTTAGGAACGATCGATGATCTCGAATGACGGCGAATGAATAACATGTGGCGAGCACCTGTATTGATCCATAGATCGCCATAGAATGCTCACTATCGATATTAAATACAGATTAACGTATCGCGTGGCTGCCTTTAATTCATCGAACATCGCGGAAAACTCACAAACTGCGCGAAGATCGACAAATTTAATGATAAAGCGATGCGACAACAATGAGAATAAAGTTGTTTGTTTCTCGCCGACGTAAATTCTTTTTGTAGACTTGTGAAACATATTTTCGTAGCCTAAGATCCTTGAATCCTCGGATTCTTCGATCTTCAATCATTTAGATATTAGGTTCCTTGAAAATCTAATTTTTTTATAATCTGGATAATTAAATAGATACATTTTTTTATTATGTGGATTTAATTAATTAATTTGAGCATTTTAAAATTTTAATTTCTTAATCTTCAATTTCTTAGTTTTTAAATTGTTTCTAAATTATAATAAGTTTCTTAAATATTTTTTAAATATTTTTGATTTATTTATTTATCGAATTAGTAATTCTTTCTTAATTCTAAATTCTTTATCTATATTTTTTATTAATTTTTCTATAAACGGAACCTAATATCTATTTTAGGCATTTTGGCTCGTTGCAGCTACTGGTTCTTGGACTGGATCCGCGAATGAAAATCATTCATTCGAAGTGGAACACACATAGATAGTATCGCTCAAAGCTTTCTATATTCCTTCCTTACGATATAGAACAACATATAATTATATTGGTACATAATTTCTTGTATTGTGATAAATAATTATTTAAAAAAGATATTAAATTCCAATGGTAGAAAAATTTTTATACATTTTATTTTATTTGTTTTGTTTAAATTTATAACTAAGAATTTATAAGAGAAGGGAAATTTTCTTAAATTTCCTTCTCAAGGAATTATATATTTTTACTATTGAAATATTATTTTTTCATTCTATATAAAAAGAAATTGTGTAAATAGTCTTTTATAAGAAGGAAGGTAATTGAAGGTTTCGAATGATACTTGAAAAATATGCTTACATATATGTGCACGTATAAATTACGTGTACGCAGTATAAACATAAACTGAATCATTCGGAATTTACGTTAGCGAATGTATTACATGATTATAAGTGATATCGATACATGTTGAGGATACGCTCTATGTGAAACTTTGCAATTTTAATATATTTCTATTGTAAGTATACTCGAGAAATTGTGAGAGAGAGAAAGAAATGATAGCACACGACGCGCGAGAGTTATTCGATATAGCGTATATAAATATATACATATATATATATATATATATAGATATATACATATTATACATATTATAATACAGCGAACTGTCGTGGGAAAACCACTTTATACATATAAATTGTCTCAGTTATGGCCAACTCAAGGAACGTTTGAAAGCAAATTTTTGAAGATGACTTAAAAAACAAAAAGAGACACTCACATAAGCACACAGAGGCAAGCAACTAAGCTCCTCATTTCGTTGGCGTTCAGATTTTCCATGTGTCTTATCTCATCTCATACTTCGTTCGCGATCATCTTACTTTCGAGCGTGGATCACGCTTGGATCGCAAAATTGTCGGAATCTGGGAATCCAGGTATCTTGGAATTTAAGATTAGAAGATCTTCTCAGACACAGATCTTTTTTCCAATTTGAGATTTCGTGGATCTAAAATCGCTGTAAGAAACTTAAGTTCCTCAGATCTGACATTCCTAGATCGTTTCATTTCTGTTACTTCTTTAAATCATCATATCGTTAACTTTTCGGATCTTCGAATCATTAAACTTCGATACTTTTATTTTCAAGGGTCACGTGAACTTAAGATAATCAGATTAATATGAGAAGGGAGACAAGAGTGAAAAAGGAGAAAATACAGAGTAGAACATCTTGGATCTGTCAAATTGAGTTTTTTATTGTAAAAGAACGTCTGCTTTTGCAATTGAAAGTTTCTGCTCTCGAGAACTATTTCATGATAAGGAAAAAAACCCTTTACAGGTTTCTGGTCTCGTAGAGCCATTTTAAATAATAATGAATAATAATAATGATAAAAACAACCACAAATAACTAATATTAATATTTACAATAAAATAATAATCGTAAAAAGGAATAAAAGAATTGTTATAAGTTGGAACTGTTGTTTCTGGTACATGCAGATACAATACATATACACACATATACATGCACACGTACATATGCACATACATCTTAAACTAAGAACATGGCCTTTGTCGTTTATTTATACGTAGTCTCCTCCTATAATCCTTTTTTGCAAATAGTACAATGTCCTGGAATTATCTGAACAAAAATTGACTCGCATACTAATATGAATTTTTCATTTTATATTTAATCATCGCTACGATAATTATTTGTTTATTTAATTACTATAGATTTTTTTCATATTTTTTTTAAACACAAGATATAGGTTTACGCGTGAATCCTTGAAATCTTCATTTTAATAATTTTATTATTTCTGATGTCCGAATATGCCCTCGTATATACTCTGATTCATAATAATATTTATATTTTCTATTGTCTATTTATATATATATATATATAATTAAGTATTATTAAACATTAATTTACATTATTTATCGTACACTTGCAAATGTTTTCAATTATATAAAATATTAATATGTGATCGGAGAAAAGATTTTATTTTATAAGAAATTCTTGTGATCTTTCTATTTGTGTAATTTATTGTCTAAGATTCGTAATTGCAATTCTTCAGTTATAATAATGCGTTTTTTTCACGACTTATAAATTGATCGATCTGCAGCGAGCAACTGATTGTCATAAAGGAGAGATCTAGCGTAAGCAACCTCGCATTATGATTACCTCTGTGTATCTGCATGACCGTATTACAATAACCTTTAACTACTTTAAAAAAAAAGGACATAGTCACTACTGCATATAGCAGAAGAGAAACTTTATACAGGTGTTCCAAAAGCATGTGCCAGAAATAGGAAATCGGGATTGTACATATCGAGAATACTCGATACTAATTTCTATTACTAATTAATTTTATCTTCGTGATAATCTTTTTCAACATATAACTCCTAATGTTTAATTATCAATCTTTTAATCCTTGCTAAATGTTATCAAGAACATTTCTTGATAACATTTCTTTTGATTTCCTAAATACTTAGATTCTATTTCACAAATTTTTTATCCTTAGTGTTTCATTTTTTCCATATGTTAATGGATTTTTAAATAAAAACTTTTGAACTATTTGAACAATAATATTTATGCGGATTTTAAGAATCTATCATTTGTACGATTTTAATAAGGTAATCTTTCTTCAAATAAAATGCACATTTTAGTAGAAGGAATTTTGTCGCATAAAACTTTCGGAGCACTTTGTATAAATCTTCATATACTAATCGCGAAGTACATTTAGCAACTCTTGCCGCGTAGCGATTAGCACATATTAATGAATAAATGACGTAATTAATTAATTGCGTTAACTTACGAAGGTAAGATTTGAAACAATGAAGTAGAGGGAGTAAATCAAAAGATGGAAATTCCTGCGAGATTTATCCAGGACGAGATACTTAGAAGGAGTCTTCCCTCGCGAGAGGCACGTTGCCCTGTATACACGTATACAGTGTGTTAAGAAAGCATTCGTACATTGCCACAGTTTATTATTATAAGTAATTGTATCGTATTTTCAACTTCACAATTATGTTTAAAAGATTTCTATTTTATATATAAATACACATATATATATCAATAATTTTTTAATTTTAATTTTTATTCCATATAATATATATATATATATTGTATGTTATATTTATTTATGTTAATTTATGTATGTTATATGGAGTGAAAAGTTATTTATAAGACAGATAGATATTTTTAGTGCTTAATACAATAAATTTTTTAATAATTGTAAGATATTTAAGGATTTAGGTTTTTCGGATCCTAAGAATCTTTATAAGATGTTAATTCTTCATACTTAAAATTTTTTAATAATTCATTTTTTATATGCTTGAATAAATTATATACACAAATTTTAAGTTATTTTTAAAATTAAGTTATTTTAAAATTTGAAGAGAAAATTATTTCAATAATAATATATTTAAATTTTAAACTTATTTTTCAGGAATTAATAATTATTTGAGTTAAATGCACATTTGTATTATTAATACATACATATTTATACAATTTAATATATTATAAATACATCATTAAATTATAATTACAAAATAGATTTAAATAAGATTATTCGCTTATCATAAAATATGACGAGCGCTTTCTTTGCACACCACGCATATTTATAATATAAACTATATAATATAAAAAACTAATCATGATTCATAATCCTACAGTACACTGTCTTAAACGAAACATAAAAAAGTAGAGCAAATTAAGGTTTTTTAAGCATTAACGACGAAAGAAGATGAGAGAAATAATATACTGACGATGACTTTTTTAACGTTTTATCACGTTACGGAGTATAATACGTGTATATATACATGAATGCATAACGTACACCCATAGTATGAAAAAAAAGGAGAATCACGTAGACCACATGTGTCTATGTATATACATATATATACAATTCATATTACGCGCGTGCGTGAGAGTGTGCGTGTGTGTTTGATGAGAGTGCAGCAAGAATGTAAATAATAAAGATCGTATTATACGATTATCCACTGGAATCTATAATTACCAAGTGTATAAGTCACATACAATATATATATACATACATATATATATATATATATTTTATATTATATAATATATATACATATATATATATATATATATATATATATATATATATATATATATATATATATAGTAT